GAATGTGAATATCTTTTTATCTTTCATTATTTTTGGATAATGGAATGCTTCTTTAAAGAATAATATTCAAACTTATTTTATTAACTAATTTTACATTATGTACTAGATTGTTCTTTAGCTTTATTAACTAAACATTATGTGCTAGTTTGCTATTTATTTTCATTGTTATGTATTTTTTTTGTATAAATTTCCATTTTGGTTAGGTAAATCTTAATAAGAATACTCTTAGTGTTAACATCCTATTGAGATCAAAATGGTGCTTTATGGAAAAGCTATTTTATTTATCTATGTCTTCCATTTTATTAAAATATATAATTGAGTATAACAGTGTGGTATCACATATTTTCAATACTTTGCATGGAACTGCATTCAATAGTATAAGCAAAAATAGATGCTGCAAGATGCTAAGGCTGAGCTAGAAACCATTATATGATAGTGTAAAGCACAAATTGCACTAATTAATTATTTGATGCTGTTATTCCCAAATTGTATCATTTGGTCAGAAAGGCCAACATCATTTAATTGTTGTTATGATTCAACCCTCATTAGACGTTTTAACCTTTTTGATGAATTATTCTTTAAGGTTAACTTGTTTTTTAATGGGAATCAGTGCAGTAATTATCTGCGGTCACTTAATAATGAAAGTATAAAAGTCTATCTTTCTTTCTCTCTTTCGCTCTCTTTATCTCATTGCCTATATGGATATGGATAGATCATCCAAAATCAGTGTAGCAGCCAATACTGAACTTGACGAGCATCCAACATGTAAGAAAACAACACTTCAAGCATAAAAACTTTATTTTATTGAAAATCCATTAAAAAGTATTTCATGATGCACATATTGAAAATAGTGCAAAAACATTTATCAAAATAACATCAACTGAGAATGCCACAAGCCTTACATGTTTAGTGATACTCAAGCAATTATTTTTGAGTGGCACAAAACCCATAAGGCATATATAGAGGATGAATGATAAATAGTGAATAGCCTTGTTTAGCCAATCAGCTTCCAAGATGGAAAAAGAAGTATGAGAGGCAAAAAAACAATGGCAAATGGTCAGGTGGTGGTGCCAGCTCCACCTTGGGCTTCCACCCCAATAAGCTAATAAACTGAAAAAAGGAGATGACCTCCAAAAAATAAATAAGGAGATCTAAAGCTGACAAAAGACGTAAATAGACAACACTAATGGAATAGTATCTAGAGACTCATTGTAGTTATGGTATAGCAAACAGTGGGGGAACATATACAACCTTCAATTGTATTAACTAGTACCCTTGGAAAAATTAAATAAAAATAATGGACATATGTCTTTATTTATCCTTACTACAAATACCACAGAACACTAAATTCGCTCCCCTCTCATGGCTAAAAAATGGTACTGTATTTACCTAAATTATATTGCCAGGGGCAGCGACAAAGGTTCCTTCCAAATGTGTGGAAACAGACAGAAAGTAGAGAGTCTAGAAATAAGCTGTGAAGTGTATATGGTGGACCGGGTAATACAGGATAGTGGATGTATTATAAATCGCCTACAACTCCTTCTCATCTATTATTCCCAAAATGCTGGGCTAAAAGGTAGATAGTAGTAATCCGAAGGGAGGCTCTCCAAACCACTTATCACTTGCAACCCTAAATCTCCTCCAACACCTTCATGGGTGTTCTAAACTAACCCCACTCTGAACTCTATACTCTGCCTAATCTTCCATGACTATAGCTACCTAAGAGTCAATACTATGTAAAACTAAAATCAAATCTAAATACCCATTGAATCCAGTGAGAAGACCCTATAGACCGGGCATTAGCTTGTTCGCTATTTCACTTCTCACTTCACAGTCTATAGGCTCTTCTCACTGGATTCAATGGGTATTTAGATTTTGATTGTAGTTCTGGGCTGCTTCCTCACTATTCTCATGATCATTGAAACTCCCCGAGGTGAGATTTTACATGGAGCCCCAAACTGAGGGAGACTGACAGTTATTTTGTGTTTCTTTCATTTGTGAATAATCGCACTGTAACGAAGCTTCCTGTACCCTGGTTGGGTACCTCTGCCGACGTATACTCCTAGTGCTCACCGAGGACTCCAAGCACTCCACCAGACACCATCAGCACCGCAGTCCCCACATCCACTTGGCTGGGAACTCTACCCACCCTGGACCTATGACAAGTGGGTAAACCTCTCCTCCAAGAGAGAGTAGGAGGAACAAGTTCTTAGTCAGGGAAAAGAGCAATCCCCAGGGTAGATGCAGCCTTTCCCCCACACATGAGGCGAGGCTCTATGTTGAGGGTAAAACAGGAACTCAGCAGATATGTGGGTTAATTGAACAGCTTGGTCTTTTATACAGTTTTCCCCACAAGATTACCATCCAGGTTGCACAGGGACACAGGAACAACAAGCCAATAAAAACATAGTTTTACGTTCAGTCACTCCCATACAGTGTACACAATCCCTCCCCTCTGCCTGAGATCTAATTAACGAAGACAATGGACTAATTCAATAAACTCTAAGCAGAAAAAACATGCATTTTTACAAACCCCCAAAAGTACCCTAAAATATAACATATCCCCACAAATTTCCCTGATAGCCCCGGTCTGGGTGAACAACATATCCGAAAATCACCCAGATTGGTTCAGGGGCTCAGGAATTTCCTGGAAGTGTTAATTTTGTCCCACCGTGCACATGGTACCATGCCCAAAACAGTTCCATACACTCGACGACAAAACACTGCTGGATAATTTAAGATGGCCACCGCCACATGTTTGAATCTGTTCCAGTTAAAAGTCCAAGGGGCAGAAACAGTACTTTTTAACATGGGTTATCACAGGACCCATAGTCCCAGGGTAGGAGGCTGGCAAACAGGCCCCTCCAAAAACCAGTGGCGAGGTTACTTTCGCCACACGCACCAACTGTTGTCAACCTTCTCACCAAGCTGCTTGGCGAAGGTCGTGTAGTGCATTCCAGCCTTGTGTATGTCTACAATATTGTCCCTGACATCCTTGGACAGTTCTTTGGTCTTGGCCATGGTGGAGATTTTGGAATCTAATTGATTGTTTGTTTTTGTGGACAGGGGTCTTTCATACAGGTACTTAGCTGAGATTAGGAGCACTCCCTTTAACCCCTTAAGGACACATGACTTGTCTGACATGTCATGATTCCCTTTTACTCGAGAAGTTTGGTCCTTAAGGGGTTAAGAGAGTGCTCCTAATCTCAGCTCGTTACCTGTATAAAAGACACTCGGGAGCCACAAATCTTGCTGATTGATAGGGGATCAAATACTTATTTTACTCATTGACATGCAAATCAATCCATAACTTTATTGACATGCGTTTTTCTGGATTTTTGTTTTGTTATTTTGTCTCTCACTGTTAAAATACACCTACCATTAAAATTATAAACTGATCATATCTTTGTCAGTGGACAAATGTTCAAAATCAACAAGGGATCAAATAATTTTTTCCCTTACTGTATGTGTTGGGGTAGTGACAAAGACAGTTTGGGGAATAGGAGATGTCCTGTACATTGTGGAGATAGGGAATGTAGTGTGGGTAGAAGGTGTTATTCAAATAAACAATGAAGCTGATTCTCTCCTCCCTTCTGCTTACCTTGGACCAGATAAGGGGGAAATACCATTCTGTAGTATTCTAGTCAGTGTGTGTATACATCTGCAGTTGTGTACCACTTATATTATGCCTTTAAATGTTGAATGCAATTATATGTTCCCTATATAAACAGTGTCTGTCAGGTCTTATATTCTTATTAGTTTCTACTTGATGAAGCCTGCTGTGGTGAAACGCATCTAGAAACTTCTTGTTTTTCTGTGTCAATAAAGGAATTTTTGGCTTTATTCAATATTGTTGCCATATTCCTTTTTTCACTTTATTATTTTATCAATCTGTTATTTTATTTTTACGTTATTTTTATCCTGACCTGATACCATTGTTTTATCATCTATAAGAAGTACCAAGAATCCCTAGGTGGGGATTGTACCACCCACACGCAATACATCGAGCAGTGAGCCTGCTCAATATACTGTGAGTATATTTTATCTTGCTTTTATCATCCCAAATAGTAATACAGGGAGCACTATATATTTTATTTTCTCTCATTCTGAGCTGGACTATCCTACTGCAGTATATACCTGAAAACCAGAGAAACTCCACGTATCCTTGAGTGGGGATTGTTCCACTTCACACAATCCAAACCAGAGCTGGATTTAAGTCTGGATATTGTGAGTAGTTTCTTTATTATATACCTAATATCCTATAAAACTACATACTGTACCATTGGAGTTTTTGTCTTCTGCTTCTCGCACATATATACCACTGGACAATCAGTCTCCATTTGTGACCACATACCTTACCTGCTGTCCCACAAGGATCTTTTCCTGCTATTGTGGATCATCCTAATTTTGGACTACTACAGAAATACTTGGACTTTCAAATATTTATATAAAACAACCAGAAATATTCGGCTACGGCTGAGAAATCTAAAATTAAAAAAATATAAATATACATAGTGTAAATCAGTTTCAAATAATGAATTAAGATTTATGAAATGCACTCACAAGATTAAGCCAATTCACACGTCTTAGACGTAATTGTTCACATGATCATGACTTTCATACCCAATCACATCATATTAAAACTAAATTATTGGAGAAGGGATACAGGAGAAATGCTTTGGAGAGAGAAATTCGACATTTAACACAAACAAATAGAAATACACTATTAATGGAAAAACCTACACCTGATATCGTTGATAACCGATTTAGGTCTGCTTTTTTGACCCAATATAATGTTGATCATAGAAAGATCAAAAAAGGGCTGCAGAATCACTGGTCAATTTTGCTACAAGATCCTGTGTTGGGAGCACATTTACCAGAACACCCCCAAGTGATTTTTAAGAAAAATCAAAAACTGAAAAACATGTTGGCTCCCAGTTATGCCATTAAAACGTCTTCCACTAATAAAAATTTAGGATCCTGTAGAGGATGTAATGTGTGCAAAACTTGTAGGACTGTGACTATTGAGAGATCCAATACCTTTTCTAGTTTTACTACTGGGAAGGTATATCATATTAAATCAGATATAGGTTGCCACACGGACTTTGTGGTTTATCTACTGCAGTGTCCGTGTGGCAAACAGTATGTGGGCCGTACCGTAAGAACTTTCAAAGTTCGAATACTTGAATATCTGAACAACATTAGGAAGGGGTTAATTACTCACACAGTTTCTGCACATTGCAGTACATGCCCTTCCTTTTCATGGAAAGAGTTAAGATGTATGGGTATCGAAAGAGTTGCCCCCCATTGGCGTGGTGGCGATAGGCTTAAGAATCTATCCCAAAGAGAAACTTTTTGGATTCACCAACTAAAAACATTAGAACCCATGGGATTAAATGTAGATATTGATTTAGTTTGTTTTTTATAAATCATATCATGTTTTTTTGGTCTGTCTGCATGTTTTTATGTCTTATTATAACGATATCTGGTTTTGTTTACCCTTTCTTTCTTTTCTACTTTTTGTAGAGATATTTTCTTACCATTCATCATATATTCGTAATAAAATTACGGATTTACATCCATCTTTTTATACTGTTAAGGGTATATGATTTGGATTAACAAAAACTGACACACTGAGACATTGTTCGTGGTAGATATGTGTGTTTTTCAATTTAATTAATTTTAAAAAAAATTAAATGATATATAATGTATATGTTTTGATTTTCTATTATTTTTAAATTATTCACTTTGTTGTCACTTTGTGATTACAATTATGTTCTTCTGAGATTAGACTTGAATTAAGTGTTTACTGGGGATTTAAAAGTGGTAAAAGAGAATAATTTATGCCATATAATTATATTCCACAATGTTGCTGCCGATACTATTGTGTTTTGTCTCAATAGATATATGATTTTTTTCAACATTTACTACTTGGGATTGTACCCCTGGCGACCACCAGAGGGCTCTGTCAATAGACATCTTGATTTCCCTTGCTGGAACGCACCATCGAATGGAACGCGGAAGTGTGCGTTCACTTCCGGTTCCGGTTCCGGTTTTCGGCTGATACTGGACGAGGGAATTTCAACTGCAACTACAATCAGAAAGAGCCAGCTGGATGTGAGTAATTACCACACCAATGACGAAAGGAATCCAGGAGGACGCCCAGGATGCCACCAATTAACTTAGGGGTTAGCCCTATATAACAGGACTGATGGGAGGGTGGGATTAGGCTGTATTTTATACTTTGTCATTGTTGTATAATATTTGGTTTTAATTTTGGTCCCTGAGGAAGTTCCGTACTGTGAACAAAATGCGTAGGACCTCATTTTATGTTTATATTTTCTTTTATTGCTGGGTGAAGATTCACCCTTAATAAAGCCATTTTTTTCTACCATCCTGTGAGTCCTGCTTTCCATTCACCTGTCTGGAGCAACTGGAGGAAGAGAATAGCTCCCCCCACTACTAACAGGGGAGGCAACCTAGAGCGCTATTTCTCATCTAATCTTGTGAGTGCATTTCACGAATATTAATTCATTATTTTAAACTGATTTACACTATGTATATTTATATTTTTTAATTTTAGATTTCTCAGCCGTATCCCGAATATTTCTGTTTGTTCTATATTTTGCTTTGTAATGACCTGGGAGGCTGTTCTATTTGATTATTAAGATTAGTGATGGACCGAACGGTTCGCTGGCGACTAGTTCCTGGCGAACATAGCATGTTCGCCACGACGGGCGAACATATGCACGGTTCGATCCGCCCCCTATTCGTCATCATTGAGTAAACTTTTACCCTGTACCTCACAGTCAGCAGACACATTCCAGCCAATTAGCAGCACACCCTCCCTAGCAGACCCTCCCACCTACTGGAAGGCATCCATTTTAGATTCATTCTCAAGCAGCATGCTTAGTGAGAGTAGGGAAAGTGTAGCTGCTGTTGATTAGATAGACAAATGCATAGCTAGGTTAGGGTATACAGTGTCCACTACAGTCCTGAAGGACTAATCTGATCTCTGCTGTAAGGACAGCACCCCAAAAAGACCTTTTTAGGGCTAGAACATCAGTCTGCTTTTTTTTTTCTGTGTAATGTAATTGCAGTTGCCTGCCTGCCAGCTTCTGTGTCAGGTTCACAGTGGATACTGTGCCCAGTGCCACCACTCACTCACTGGTGTCACAATAGCTTGCATTTAAAAAAAATAAAAATATTTTCACTGTTATAGATTGAATAGCAGTTAGTTGTCTCAAAGCGGGTGTGTCAGGCTCACAGTGGATACTGTGCCCAGTGCCACCACTCACTCACTGGTGTCACAATAGCTTGCATTTAAAACCAAAACACTTTTTTCACTGTTATAGATTGAATAGCAGTTAGTTGTCTGCCACACTTCTGTGTCAGGCTCACAGTGGATACTGTGCCCATTTGCCCACAGTGCCACCACTCACTGGTGTCACAATAGCTTGCATTTAAAAACAAAAAACTTTTTTCACTGTTATAGATTGAATAGCAGTAGTTGTCTTAAAGCGGGTGTGTCAGGCTCACAGTGGATACTGTGCCCAGTGCCACCACTCACTCACTGGTGTCACAATAGCTTGCATTTAAAACCCAAATTTTTTTTCACTGTTATAGATTGAATAGCAGTTAGTTGTCTCAAAGCGGGTGTGTCAGGCTCACAGTGGATACTGTGCCCAGTGCCACCACTCACTCACTGGTGTCACAATAGCTTGCATTTAAAAACAAAAAACTTTTTTCACTGTTATAGATTGAATAGCAGTTAGTTGTCTAAAAGCGGGTGTGTCAGGCTCACAGTGGATACTGTGCCCAGTGCCACCACTCACTCACTGGTGTCACAATAGCTTGCATTTAAAAACAAAAAACTTTTTTCACTGTTATAGATTGAATAGCAGTTAGTTGTCTCAAAGCGGGTGTGTCAGGCTCACAGTGGATACTGTGCCCAGTGCCACCACTCACTCACTGGTGTCACAATAGTTTGCATTTAAAAACAAAAAACTTTTTTCACTGTTATAGATTGAATAGCAGTTAGTTGTCTCAAAGCGGGTGTGTCAGGCTCACAGTGGATACTGTGCCCAGTGCCACCACTCACTCACTGGTGTCACAATAGCTTGCATTTAAAAACCAAAAAACTTTTTTCACTGTTATAGATTGAATAGCAGTTAGTTGTCTCAAAGCTGGTGTGTCAGGCTCACAGTGGATACTGTGCCCAGTGCCACCACTCACTAACTGGTGTCACAATAGCTTGCATTTAAAACCCAAAAACTTTTTTCACTGTTATAGATTGAATAGCAGTTAGTTGTCTGCCATCATCTGTGTCAGGCTCAAAGTGGATACTGTGCTCAGTGCCACCACTCACTCTCTGGTGTCACAATATCTTGCATTTAAAACCAAAAAACTTTTCTCACTGTTATAGATTGAATAGCAGTTAGTTGTCTCAAAGCGGGTGTGTCAGGCTCACAGTGGATACTGTGCCCAGTGCCACCACTCACTCACTGGTGTCAAAATAGCTTGCATTTAAAACCAAAAAACTTTTTTCACTGTTATAGATTGAATAGCAGTTAGTTGTCTCAAAGCAGGTGTGTCAGCTCACAGTGGATACTGTGCCCAGTGCCACCACTCACTCACTGGTGTCACAATAGCTTGCATTTAAAACCAAAAAACTTTTTTCACTGTTATAGATTGAATAGCAGTTAGTTGTCTCAAAGCGGGTGTGTCAGGCTCACAGTGGATACTGTGCCAGTTCACAGTGCCACTCCTATCTGGTGGCACATTAGATTGCACGCGCAGTGCCCCAAATTTGAAGAAGGAGGACCGACCAAGCATCTTTTTCCATCTCCTGGTTCCTAAAATCGATGCCATATACACGTCCCCTGATAGGGGACGTAACAGGGATTAAACTGATAAGAATAGTACTACTTAACACACCACTCCTATCTGGTGGCACATTAGATTGCACGCGCAGTGCCCCAAATTTGTTGTGATCTGTGACTAAGGTAAACGGTTGTCCATACAAGTAAGGTTGCAGCTTTTTGAGGGCCCACACCACCGCCAGGCACTCCTTTTCAATGGCAGTGTATCTACTTCCCTGGGTAAAAGTTTCCGGCTTAGATAAGCCCCTGGTTGCTCGCCGCCATCTGCTCCGACTTGGCTCAGTACTGCTCCCAATCCAAACACAGAAGCGTCTGTATGGACGAGAAAGCGTTTAGTTGGATCAGGAGCAGAAAGTACAGGTGATTTAATGAGCGCCGTCTTGAGCTGTTGGAAGGCCTGTTCACACTCTGGGGCCCATACTACTATCTTGGGGAGGTTTTTACGCGCTCCTATATGGCACTTACTGGGCTTTAGGGTCAGTCCGGACTCCCTAATCCGGTCTAGTACGGCTCCTATGTGGGTCAGGTGTTCGGGCCAGGAGCAGCTAAAAATGGCTATATCATTCAAGTAGGCGCAGGCATACTCCTGAAACCCATCCAGTAGCCGATCTACCATCCTCTGAAAGTTAGCCGGGGCATTCTTCATCCCGAATGGCATGACCTTAAACTGATACAGGCCAAACGAGGTGACAAATGCTGACTTGTGGATGGCGTCCTCGGCTAATGGAATTTGCCAGTACCCCTTGCACAGCTCTATTGTGGTGAGGTACTGGCCTCTGGCCATTTTGTCTAGGAGCTCGTCTATCCGGGGCATAGGGTAGGCGTCTGAGGTTGTTTTATCGTTTAGCCTCCTGTAGTCTACAAAGAAAAAGGTTGTGCCGTCCCGTTTCGGTACTAGTACTACCGGGGAGGCCCAGGGGCTGTCAGAGTGTTCTATCACCCCTAACTGCATCATTTCCTCAATTTCTTTCTGAATATTTTCTTTAACTGCTTCGGGTATGCGATAGGCGGTTTGGCGAAGGGGGGTCTGGTCTAGGGTTTCAACTTTGTGAGTGGTTAACGGACTGTACCCAGGTAGGTTGGAAAACGTGGCCCCCTTGTCCTGGATTAGTTCTCCTAACTGTACTTCTCCCAGGTCTCCGCTCTGGTCCTCTAGGTCTAGGAGATCTGGGATTGGCAAATTATCATAATCTTCAGTGGCAGGTGCACAGATCGCGGTTACCTCTTCCGTGCGCTCGTGGTATGGCTTGAGCATGTTCACGTGGAGCATGCGCTTGCCTCCCGTGCCTGTGACCGCACTGATCACAAAGGTGGTATCACAAACCTGCTCTACCACCTTGTATGGGGCCTGCCAGGAAGCCTGCAGCTTGTCCTTGTGGACAGTGTCAATCCATATCTGCCAAGTGACCCTATGTAGTGGGAACAGTCTCTATTCTGCTCTGTGTCAGTGTGTATCATGGTCTCTGAGGACAGGTGTCAATCCATATCTGCCAAGTGACCCTATGTAGTGGGAACAGTCTCTATTCTGCTCTGTGTCAGTGTGTATCATGGTCTCTGAGGACAGGTGTCAATCCATATCTGCCAAGTGACCCTATGTAGGGGGAACAGTCCCTATTCTGCTCTGTGTCAGTGTGTATCAGGGTCTCTGAGGACAGGTGTGAATCCATATGTCAAGGTGTCAATATGTCATATGTCAGGTATCAATCCATTGTGATTTAGGAATGTTAGGTGATTTCTGCCCTTTATGGATTAAGACCAGACTCTGCATCAACTGTGTAATTTTCCATGGGAGTTTTGCCATGGATCCCCCTCCCGCATGCCACAGTCCAGGTGTTAGTCCCCTTGAAACAACTTTTCCATCACTATTGTGGCCAGAAAGAGTCCCTGTGTGTTTTAAAATTCGCCTGCCCATTGAAGTCTATGGCGATTCGCCCGGTTCGCCCGGTTCGCCCGGTTCGCCCGGTTCGCCCGGTTCGCCGGGGACCCCACTCTCTTGGCAGATATGGATTGACACCTGTCCTCAGAGATCATGATACACACAGAGCAGAATAGAGACTGTTCCCCTACATAGGGTCACTTGGCAGATATGGATTTACACTGTCCACAAGGACAAGCTGCAGGCTTCCTGGTGTTCGCGACATCACTAATTAAGATAAGTACACTTTTTATTTGTATATACTATTCACTCAATGGTGATATAGCTATATTTTTCTATTTTCTTAAATATTTACATAAGTATTATTTTTACTTGCCCTTTAGGCGCACCCTTTTTCTCTCTCTTTTCTATATCTATTCTGAGGGGACTAGAGGGGACCCCACTCTCTATAGGTGTGCTTCCTATACGCTACATCATTATATTCCCTGTTGACATATCAGCGCTGACCCTTCTTTGTGATTTCTTCTACATACCGAGCCTTACCCAGCCTCTCTATTAGTTCATCAACCCTAAGCATTGGATAAACAATTAAGCATCAAAGTTCGACACACTATTTAATTTATGAAAATCATTAAAAATCCTAACGAGCCATCAGGTTTTGGCACCTGTACAATGGGGCTGTTCCACTTGCTTTGTGATTCCTCAATAATATCAAGATCTAACATTTTCTTAATTTCAGCAGTTACCGCCTTATTCTGTGCTTCTGGAATTCTGCAAGGTTTAAGACTCATCTTCACCCATGGTTCTGTAACAATATCATGCTTGATAACATAGTACTGCCTGGAGCTACAGAAAATACATCCTTGTTTCTTCCAATAAAGTCACTTACTTTCTGCATCTGGTGGGGGAACAGTGTGTCTGGTATGTTTACTTCAAGTTCACTATCAGTCCTAGTAATGACAATTGAAGTAGTTAAGACCTCTCTGTCCTTCCAGGGTTTTAGTAAATTTATATTTCTCCTATTGGGTTGTCTCACTTTACGTATAATTAACTTCCCCAACTTGTTCAGTAACCGGATAGGGGCCATGCCAAGATGCTGAAATGTATTTTCTGCTGTATGGTGAAAAACTCTCAGTCTGGCATTTCTATTATAACTGTTTTTCTGGGCCTCTTGGGCTTTCTGTATATATTCTTTAACTATTGGCATGACAGCCGCCATCCTATCTTGCATTTGAGCTATGTGCTCATTCAATTACACTACGGTACGGATTGGATTTGTGTTCCCAGGTTTCTTTTGCTATATCTAGCAGACCTCTGGGATTATGGACATATAGAAGTTCAAAAAGAGAGAAGCCTGTAGAAGCTTGTAGCACCTCCCTTACGGAGAACATTAGATAGGGTAGTAAGCAATCCCAATTCTTACCATCCTTGTCAATTACTTTCCTTAACATACTTTTTAAGGTCTTGTTGAACCGTTCTACCAGTCCGTCTGTCTGGGGATGATAAACAGAGGTTTTAAGATGTTAAATTTGAAGTAGTTTGCATAAATCCTCCGTAACTTTAGACATAAATGGTGTATCCTGGTCTGTCAAAAGTTTTGGTATGCCCACCCGGTTTAACATGAGCATGAGTTATTTCATCATTGTCTTAGCAGACGTGTTATGTAGGGGTACTGCTTCCGGGTACTTAGTAGCATAATCCAAAACCACCAATATATACTGATGCCCCCTTATACAAAAATGTGCAGATACACCAAATAGTGGATAGAACACACACTTCGTGGGCAACAGATAGAAAAAAATTCTAACAATTACCCTTATACTATAAGTACTGCAGATAAGGACTCCTCACAGTCCTTGAAATGATATGGAAAACGAAAAAAATCTACAATACAATAATAACAAAGAGAAACATAGTGTGTGACGAGACCAATCTCGCCACATTGCATTGGAGAAGCCTGGTTGCTCGCCTGCTGCCTTTGGACTATGGCCCCATGTTAAAAGACTTTATTTTCCCCTACAAAGACAAGAAAGCCGGGTCATTTGGTGCTTGCCCTGTTTGAGCAGTGATACCCCAGATAGCTATGCCATGGAGCCCATTCGTATAATGAAAGACTATGGGAAAGACTTTGGCTCCATGGCAATTGAACTGTATGTGTGTGCTCTGAGCGCCATTCAGTAATAATGTGTGCTTAGACCTAAGCTATCTGGGCATATGTTGCATGCCTGTATTTTATGTCATAAATGTAACCTTGTGTATTTTATTGTATTTTACTGTCTTTTTGCTGCCATGTGTTCAATTGAGTTTTGCCTCTGTCTTTGGAGATAATTGAATTACTTCTAATTATCTCCAGGATAGAAGACTCTGTGGAACTGGTTTTGGGCAGAAAAGCCATGCTTCCTGGGGTCACAAAGGACTACGATCTATCTTTTGAACCACTGGACCAATTTGTATGATTTTGACGTATGTTTGTATTTGGAGTATGCTGATTTTGAAAATGTAAGTTTTATGTGAATGTGATGCATACTGTTCAAGTTATGAATAATGTGGAAAATTGTATTTCTCTGCTTGTTCTAAATTACATTACCCATTGTGTATGGTAATTGAATCACATGCAGAGGGAAGGAATTTGTGTGGGAGTGTCTGAGTGTATTGTATGTGTTTATTGGTTGTGTTCCAAAACCCTGTGGGTGGTACTAATGTGTGAGAATGTGTACATAAGCACAATAAACCCACAGCTCTGTCTATACACTGCTTGACCCTCAACACGGAGCTTGGTCTCGTTCTTGGGGGGATTTATTGTATGCTGTTCCAGTTCGACTGCTAGGAGTGTAAACCTATTCGGCTGTTTACAGCATTCATATGGTTTCCTGTTCAGCGGATTGGTGTTCTGCAGTAGCTGTGCCTGTGTCTCTGGAAAGGGGGACGATCGCCTAAACGGTTTTTACCCCTTGTGTGCAAAACAGTCCGTTACATAGTGCAATAATGTTGCAACAATTATGAGGTGGAAAGTAAATGTAGTAATCACACTCACAAACCAAAATTGATTGTAGGCATATCATCAATAAAGTAGAAACCTCAAGACTTGCGGAGCATCATGGCAAATATGAAGGAGAAAGGAAAAATAATAATAGTGCAGCGTGTCTCAATCAAAGTAAACACTTTAATGTAAAAACACACTTACAAAATTGAAGTAAAAAACAGGCACATCATATAGAATTGATTCAATCACAGAATCCCAGCAGACTGGAACACCGGAGAAAACAGCATTCAAAATTGAAAATAAATAAAAATAAATAAAACTCTGCACTAATACAAATAGCCCTACGCATTTCGTTCAACTATTTGAACTTCCTCAGGGGAAAATAAAACTCCTTCTAGGCATAGATGTCCACAAAGTCCCAATTTTCTTTTAAACCTTTTCCAATCTTGGCATGCAGAGTGGCCGAGCCTATCGGCAGCATACTTCCGGGTTCATCGTTGCTTATACTTCCGGAAACATCCATGTTCCCGGAAATGCGGTTCAAGACTCTCTTTCAAAATAAAACCGGGCATGATGACGTATAGGCTTGCATTCCATTCGGCGAC